AGTCTATGGGCTTGGGATTCCCAAGATCCTTTCAGACCATAATATTCAGTGAATATCTATGACATCATCCCCAGGTGGCAATGGAAAAGTCCCTTAACCTTTCTGGGCTTCTGGGTCTTTGTCTGTAAAAGGAGAGAAGTTGGAATAGATAACCCTTGGGTCCCTAAAGCTGTGTCCTGCTAACTGGGGGGAGGCGGTTCCCAAGGTGGGATTTTATTGGCATGGGACACCCCCACTATTGAACGGATGCAGCTGGTCAGGTCCCCTATAATGGATGGCCTCAGAGAGTGGCCTGGGCCACTAAGACCATAGTGGACTTCAACCCCAGGGCTTCCTGACTACAAAGCCAGCCTCATGCGACAGGGCTTCAGCCTATGCATGGCTGGGTGGAGATTCCAGCTCCTGGAGATAAAGGCAAATGGTGAAAGCAACCTAGGGTAAATTCCCACCTCTGGTTCTAACTCCCTGTGAGGCCTTGCACAGGTCACCTAACTTACCACCACCTCAGTTTCCTCGTGTCTAAAATAAGGGTGTTGGACTAAGTGCCTTCCAAGGGCCTTCCAGCTCTGGATCTGTGATCTTATAAAATTGATTATTTTAATGAGGTCACGTTTTGCCATTTTGTGAGCAAGCTCTTCCAGGCTCCATCACAGTAAAAAGGTCCCCTTCCTCCAGTGCAGCGTGAATGACTCACCCCAATGCTTCTTCCTAACAGCTCTTCCCACCGCCCCCCTCTAAACGGGCACTGCCAGCTGGAGGCCCCACTCCCTTCTGTGTGGCCGCCTACGCCCTTGCCCGTGAGCTCCTGTTAGATGGCTTGTTAACAACCATGAATTCTTCAGCCTTTAAAAAAAAAATAAGGTCACCCCAGCCCTGGCTGCCCAGTGGTGCATCTTGTGCCCTTTCTTACCTTGTCACGGTGGAAGGCTCATTTACCTAAAAGAATGCTGTGAATGGGAAAGGGTGATCATCTCCAGCTAGGTGCTGAAGATTCATGCCGTGTTGGGGCACCACTGGGCATCTTAATCCTGTCATCACTCACCCTCCCCTGGCTTTGAGATGCACCTCCCAAGCCCCAAGTCTTTCCTTCACTGAATGGAACTGACGTGGTTGCTTTGGCTTGGTTGGCATCGTGCCCGCCTCTGCACAGCATCCGAATGACACATTGGTAGGTACTGATTTTTCTTTTCCTCCCTCGCTCCCCACCCCCTTTCTTCTTTCCCAAAAAGGTTTAGTTTCTTCTCTCGAGACAAAAAACGCCTGGCCAACACGCAGAGAAACGTCCACTTCCAGGAATCGTTTGGCCAGTGGGCGGACTCCCACAGAGATGACGGCTACACCGAACAGGGGCAAGAAGCGTTACAGCACCTGTGACCTTCACTCTTTTGGGCTCGTGACCGGCTCGGCCATGTCTGACCCAGACGGCCAGGGACCAGCCTATGCCCAGAAACCAGACTTCACGACCCCTGGCAGCTCAGCCCTCTGCACCTCGTGGTCGTGTATTTTTTCAGATGTACTTTCCACCCAGGGACACTGAGACACATGCTGTGTGCCTGGGACAGCAGACCTCTAAAAACAGACTCCAGATTCCACAGTAATCATCATTTGTACTTGGGGGTGGGAATCGTGGTTTACATGGGGTGACTGTGTGACCCTCATGTATACCTCTGTAGGTCACAGATGAATGCCCTGCTAGTCTCTGGTCTGGCTTTTACGCTCCCTCCGGTAACACAGGCTTTTCTAAACCAAAAACACAGCGTGTGGCACCCTGACAGTGGCCAGCACCCACTGGCACTGTGCGAAGCTTGGTCTGTGGGTACTCTCTGACCCGTCGTGTTTCTGTAATACAGAGGGGTGGGGTGGGAAATGGGAGGTGATGGTGGCTCATCGTTAGTTCTGTTGATGCCATTTTCAAAGTGGCCCAGGCAGAACTCTAACATTTGATCAGTTCCCCCTGGGGCACCTTTTAGCACAAGCTCTGGGAGCTCTGTCTCAGGGCAGCATTCACCAGTGGACAACAGGACCCTTCACAACCTCACAACTGGAGGCAACCGTGCAAGAAGCCAGGGGGTGGGCGTCGTACCCTGGGATTTATAGTGCCTAAAGCATGTAGATACTGGTGTACAAGGTGAGTGTGCCTTGGGTTTTGCTGAGTTATATACAGTATTAACCAAACAAAAGAATTGCTAAAAATGATCAATTTTAACACGTGGTTTGGGCATTTTTTCTTGTCATCTTTTTCTTCACGTACGGGAGATAAAAGTCACTCCTTATCCTGCTGAGCCTGAGTTGAAGGCGTACAGGGCAGTGGGAACCTTGTAGGGAAAGGGTAAACTTGACAGAAGATTGCCCAGGCTCCTCCTCCCTTCTCTGGGAGCTTTGAGCTGTGGGGAAGCAAAGATGTCCCGTGGCACTGTGTGGCTGCCAGACCCAGGGGGTTGCCTTGCTTCTCTGGAAGCTAGATGAAAAGCATACCGTGATATTCATCCACTCCCTTTTTTTCCTCCCAAGGCTCATAAACTATATATTTTAGTACCAGTTAAAATTAATGATAAAAAAAAATCACTGCTGACATCAGCACCATGAAAGCAGCATGCTGGTGTAGGAAAACACCCAACAGGGAGATCAGAGATCTAGGCCTGTTCTGCCCCTACCCCTAATGGGCTGCATGACCTTAGGAGTTCCCTTACTTTCCTCATCTGGGAAAGGATGGGGGGGGGCATGGACAGGATGACTTCCCTGGCCCCTTCCAGCTCTAAAACTGTGGTCTACTGTTACACAAGGTGATTTCAGAGGTAGAGAAATGGGACTTTGGCCACCCCATTCCTATTTTTAATATAAAGAAACAAATTCCTACTGAGACCCTTGGCGAACAGAGAAATGCTACACTGGTAATTTACTAGGAAAATAGCATGTTCATTTTCTAAAACGGTTTCTAACAGCTGGTGTCTATTTTAATACAGCAGGGCGGTTCTGTTCTTTGTGGAAAGGAAAGCTGGAGGAGGAGGCTGCTGCTATTAGGGTAAAAACCTAATAATGGGGCCCTTTTTTAAACCCACATAAAACAGATAGCTGTGACTCAAGTGACATTTATTAAGCACTTACATGTAAGGCCTCAGAAATAAATCAGATGTGCTACCTGAAACACTGAATTTTAAAAACGTGAATTCTCAGAGTTACGGACAAGAAGATGCCTGTTACAGTCTCTCTTTTTGAGATGCCTCTGTCCAGGTAAGTCTGGTCATGTCTCCAATAGAGGCCAGCTAGGTGGCACAGTGAACAGAGCACTATGTCTGGAGTCAGGAAGCCTCAAGTTCAGATTAGGTCTCAGATACTTCCTGGCTGTGTGACCCTGGGTATGGCACTTAACCTCTGTCTGCCTCAGTTTCCACATCTGTAAAATGGAGATAATAGTAGTACCTACCTCCCAGAGTTGTGGGGAAACCCAAATTAGATATTTGTAAAATATTTTACAAATCTTAAAGCATCATAGAGCTGTTGTTATAAAAACTTACTTTCGATCTGTCACCCAAGTAGGAAGGGAAGGTCAGTTCACCCAGTTTGCTGAAGTCAAGCTGGGAGGAAGGAAAGGAAAGAGGAAGGCTTGGAAGCAGTTTGCCCTGCAGGTCACAGTGTGTTAGCATTTCACTGGTCTCGGTTCTGCACGCTCCTTACTCATTCTGCAGAACTATAAGAAGGCTCGAAATAAGGGAAAACTTCGTACCCATTGTGTGAAAGTGCAGGGGGCAACTGGATAGTGCACTGGTTAGAGCACCGGCCCTGGAGTCAGGTGGATCCGAGTTCAAATCTGGATTCAGACACTTACTAGCTGTGTGACCCTAGGCAAGTCACTTAACCCTGATTGGCTCAAAAAAGAAAAAGAAAGGGCAACAGGCTGTCTTGGGAGGTAGAGAATTCCTTATCATTAGAGGTCTAAAGCCAAACCTGGGTAACCTTGTTGGAACATTCTCATTGAGGTACAAGTTGGCCTAGAAGGCCTCTGAAGTTCTTTTTTTTTTTAATTTATTTTGATTTATCAACAATCCCTTCCATATGCTTTTGAGTTGAAAATTTTTCTCCCCCTCCCTCCCTATCACCCTCCCCAAGATGGCACACAATCTGATATAGGCTATACATATATATTCCTTTTAAACATATTTTCACATCAGTGATGTTGTAAGTAAGAATTAGAACCAATAGGAGGAACCACCTGAAAGAAGAAACAAAACTCAGCAGAAGAAAAAAAATAGCAAATAGTATGCTTCGATCTGCATTCAAACTCCATAGTTCCTTCCCTGGATGTGGATAGCATTTTCCATCATGAAGACCTCTGAAATTCTATGAAATGTTTTCTTATCAAAAAGACATCAAGGGTCTCCTCCAGGGTGAACCCTTTAGCAGAAGGAATGTGGTGCTGATGGGGAGAGTGCTGGCCTGGAGACGGAACCTGGCTTTACTACTTTATTTGTGCATCCTCAGGAGGGCAACAGGCTTTTATTAAGGGTCTACTATGTGCTAGGCCCTATATTAAGATAAGTCACTTTTTAGATTGAGATTTAACAAGTATTTATTAAGCCCCTACTGTGTGTGTGCCAGGTACTCTACTAAGCACTTTACAATATTTACAATTACCTCATTTGATCCTCACAACCCTGGGAGATAGATGGGTGCTATTATCATCCCCATTTTACAGACGAGGAAACAAAGGAGAGGTTAAAAGCCTTGCTCAGAGTCACATGGCTAGTAAGTGTTTGAGGCAGGATTCCAATTCCAGGGCTTTATCCAGTGTGCCACCTACCAGTCTCTGCCTCAGTTTCCCCATACATAAAAGGAGGAGGCTGGACTCCCTTGTCTTTAAGGTCCCTTCTGGCTCTAAATCTGTGATCCCACAAGAATCCCCATTTGGCTCAGAAGGGGCAGGCCAGCAGCCTGAGATCACTCAGCTTTCCTTTTCTAGTTCACCCCCTCAGAAATAATCACATTAATGCAGGCTGCTGAAATGACTGGACGGATTTGAAACAAATCTTTATTCAGCAGCTATGTCCAGGGTTCTGGTGATACAAAGAGGACAGAAATTTGGGCTTGGGTGGGATGAAGGTCTAGAATGGTGTGTCCCCCAAGAAAGGTAACAGGGTTTAGACAAGGAAAGTGGCAACAGAGAGCTTGGGGGGAACCCTGGGAAATCTGAGGCCAGCAAGCCCCGTTTCGGCTGGTTACATAAAGGAAGACTCCACGGAGGTGAGGGCCGAGCCTTGTAGGAAGGAGGAAGAGGTGAGGTGCACCGGGCACCACCTGCCCGCCTGTCCACACAGGTGTAGAGGAAAGGGACGGCTGTGCCCCAAGTCTCTATCTGTGTTTGTCGTCACCTCTCTGCTTTTTGGAGTCTCTTTCCTTGCTTCTATCTCTCCTCTCTCGGTCTTTTCTCTCTCGGCCCCTGCTCCTCTCCTCACGGAAGTCCTTCTCCCTTTCCCTCTCGCTCTCATCCCAGGCCCGGCTGGACTCCCTTTCCTGCCGCCTCTTCTCTCGGCCCCTGTCATGGTCTCGATCTCTGGTCCTCCAGTCCCAGGTTCTGTCTCGGGACCACTCCCTCCTTTCCCTCTGGCCCTCTCCATAGAAGTCACTTTTGAAAACCGGCAAGTTAATGGGCTTTCTAAACGGCCGGTCCCGTCCACCAAATCTCAGTTGTCCAGATTCTTTTTTTCCACCAAACCCCCCTCCAAGTCTCCGAGGGATCCACCCTTTAAGGATTCTTTCCAGCTCGTAGTCAACAAAGATCTCGTGCTGATCAATGACCAGTCCATTGGCATCTCTGTAAGCTTTTAACAGAGACCGTTCTTCTCTGTACTCAATAAAAGCATAGCGCTTTGAAAAGCCCGTGACCACGTCCCGAACCAGCCGCAGCTTCCTAACATCACCGTATCTGCTGAAGACGTCTCTCAGCTTTTCTTCTGTTGTCTGCAGGTTCAGCCTGCCCACAAAGAGGGTGAGGTGGGGGTCTCCGGACACGCCTTTGTTGGGCACATAGCGGGCCAGCATGGCCCTCCAGATGGCCCGGTCATGAGGCTCTTCATCGGTGCCGTCGATGCTCCCAGCTTTGAGAGGATCGTACTCTTTGGCGATGGGCATCCACTCATTCATTCTCTAGAAAAGCAGGAGACAGTGAGCGTGCTTGGGTTTGACACATGTCAGCATGGCAATGGGCCAGTAAGGTACCCATAGCACTTTGTTGGGCCGGCCAGCCGGCCGCAATCTGCTCCCCCCATCTTGGGGCTCTCAAGATCAATTCTACTGCTACAAGCAATAATAATAGTAGAGGTCTGCAAAGTCCTTCAAGTACTTTCACCTGTGATTCTCATCATAATCCTAATGGACAGGAACTGCAGGAAGGAATATCCCTATTCTGCAGATGGGGAAACTGAGGCTCACAGCAGTTACATGACTTGCCCAGGGTCCGAGGTAAGATTCAAACCCTGGTCCCTCCTGACTAAATCTAACCCTCCTTCCACACCATGTCACTGCCTCCCACTTCAGCTGGACAAGCCTATAACCCTGCTGTGATGCAAAAAAGCCATTCCTGGTTGGTATCCTGCTTCTGGCAGGGATCAGGCTTAGGCCAGCAACAGTCCTGAGGGGGGAGTCAAGGCTGAATTTCTTCCTGACTAGTCAACTCCCTGAAGCTGGGGATCACTTTTGCCTTGGAGCATGAGAATTAATTGCTATGGCAATTTCACCCCAGCAAGTCTGCATTGCAGATGACATTCTTTCAGATACATGGTAATTAATTCATAGGAATCTTTGTTGGAATAATAAAGTGCCTGCCAACATTTAAAATACCACCAGTGCTTATGTAACCCCCTAGCAACTCCACAGCCAAAAGTGAAATAGGCTTTAAAAAGGGGGGAGGGGGACTCTACAAAGCAAGCATGACAGATCTCTGGTCCCACCATCCCACTGGCATCTCTCCATAATATGTCCTCAAACCTCACTTTCTCTGGGGCTGTTTCTCCAAAAACTGCCTTGCTGGCCTGTCCCTCTTTCACCCCAATCAAGCACATGCCTTTTTCTTTTTCTAGATCTCTACTCTAGTAAAGATGAAACAATTCTGTCCATATGGATTTAAAGGGTACAGGGGGGATTACTTTGTTGAGGGGATTATTTGGGGGTACAGTATTGATTTAAGAGAAGTAACCTAATGCTACAACACAAAACTACGAAGCAGTTATGAACAAATTAAAAATACTGACTGGGTTGACCAATAAATCAATGTTTGTAAATGAAATCCTCAGAAACCTGAAAGCCACTTAAAACCTGTTCATTTTTTATGGCAAAAGAGTTCATCGGTCACATCCACCCAATGAGGTAGAGTGGTGGAAAAGAAAAATCACTGGACCTGGAGTTAGGAAGCCTGGGTTCAAATTCTGGCATGGGGAAATCTTAGGCAAAATTCAGGAAAGATGGAGAGGCTGGAGAGCCTCCAGAGAGAGGGAAGGGCCTCAGCCATATGAGGATCCGATAAAGGCAGAAGAGATCTGAAGCTCGGCTGCCCAGGAGAGAAGGCAGACTGATTTTGCTTGGTTCCAGAGAGCACAACGTAAACAAATCCTCATAGACAGGTTCCTGTTGGATGCTAATAGAGCGATCCAGAAGTGGATAGGACTGCCACCTTGGGAAGCAAAGGGCTCCCTCTCATTGGAGGATTCCCAGCAAAGACTGGCTGCCATTTGTCTGGAATGTAAGAGAACAAATTCTTCGAGTACAGATTGGACTAGATACCCTCCTGATCCCCTGGGCCAACTTTGTGATTCTGGGGGAAAAAAACAACAAAAAACAGATTCTCAGGGCCTTGGGTCCTCCTTTATAAGATGATTAAATCATAAATGATTAAATTATAAAATTAGATTCTGTATAAAGGTCTGGCAGCAAAATGATGGCATGCTTCCAGTATTTCAGGCTTGGCAGAGGCGCCCCTCTGTGCCTTGGCACCTTTGAGTATGGCCAGGGCTGGGGACAGACGCACAGCAAGGTTCCAGGAAACAGAATCAACTGCCTCAACCAGGAATGTTTCTGGGTTGTTGCTCAAACTTGAAACAGAAAGTAAACACGCTGCAGAAAGTCGTTACCATCCCTTCAGGTCAGCAGGATGGCAAGGGAAAACAATGTGGAAAAGGAGAACAGGCTGCAACAAGAGGTTTCCTTGGATTCAGAGCTAGAGACACTCAGAGATCATTTAGTTCAAAACTTTTCTTTTACATCTGAAGAAACTGAGACCTAAAAAAATAAAATGGGCCATGCCTAATTTTTTCCCAAGTTTTTATTGTTGTTGTTATCATTTTTAGTCATCCAGCTCTCTGTAAGCCTATTTGGGATTTTCTTGGCAAAGATACTGAAGTGGTTTCCCATTTCCTTCTGTAGCTCTTTTTACAGATGAGAAACTGAGGCAAACAAGTTAAGTGATTTGCCCAGGATCACATAGCTTTGTGCCTGAGGCTAGATTTGAACTCACAAAGATGGGTCTTCCTGACTCCAGACCCAGCACTCTATCCAATGAACTATCTAGCTGCCCCCTATTTCTTAAGTAACAAAGCCAGAATTGAACCCAGGTACACTGACCCCAAATAGAGGACTCCTGCTGCTAACACCCCTTTGCCTCTGCCATTCCTAGGTCTACCAGCAGGTCCTATGTTTGGCATGGTGTAGGGAGCATTCCCACTCAGTCAGGGGGATGGACCAGATGACCTCTTAAGTTTCTCAAATGAGAGTCTTGAGAGCTAGAAGGGATCCAGGGGATTATTTGTCAACCAAACAAGCATTTATTGAACTCCTACTAATTAGGCACTCCTTGGGGGCTTAGACATATCTTTCTTTGTATCGCCAATACATAGCACAGTGCCTGGAATATAGGAAGAGCCCAATAAATGTTTACTGACGGACATAACAAATTCCAGGAGTGGGGAGCTGCCTGTGAAGAATCAAGGAGATGGAAGAGGTGGGATGCAATGTGCAACGTCTAGAATGACAGGCTGAAGCCAGGTTGTGGAGGGTCTTAATACTCCCAAAAAATGTTTGCATTTGGTCCTAGAAGCAAGAGGAAGCCACTGGGCCTTTCTGAGCAGGGGAATAATCAATGACATATATAAATTTGCTTTTTAGAAATATCGCAGTACCCAACACGGAGCAGCAGCATTTAATATCTGTGGACGGACGGATCCTTTTAGCAGCTGCGTGGAGGGCAAGAGACCAAGCTGGGGGTCAATTAGCAGGCTACTGCAATGGTCCAGTGAGAGGTAAGGAAGGCCAAAGTCCTGGGGTGCCCGTGTACCCGCAAAGAAAAGTGGCCAGATGGGAGAGAAGCCTTAAGGCTTGGCAAAACTAGAAGTTTGGCTCTTTAAACGTCCTCCACAACCTAACAGGCGACCTCTCCTGACTCGCTGCAGCTCTCCCGTTCGGCCTTAAGCCTCCCCAGCCACAGAAACCCCAGCGCGGAACCACGTGCGCTTCTCGCAGACTGCTCCCGCCACGCCCACCGACATGTGCGCAGGTCATCCTCTCGGGGGTTCCCCTCGGCCAACTCCAGGTAAGGGAGGGCCACAGTCAACGCCGGAACTCCACGATGGAGCATGCGCCCTAGGCGACCATGAAGCCAAGACAGGAGAGCCATTAGCGGAAACCCGGCTTCCCTTCCCAGGGCCGCCCCCAGACAATCTCCTCCCCTCGCATGGCCGGAGCCTCAACCTCGCCACGTCTCTAGGAGGCTCCCGAGCCGGCTGTGCCAAAAAACCACCCCACCCCGGCACTCAGGCTCAAATACGGCCGCCGACTTTGCCCATCTCCAACATGGCGGCCAGTGACCACAGAGCCCGCGGTCGTGCGGAAACGGCTCCAGGGATGGCACTGAATGGGGCTGGGGCCGGACGCGCACCTACCTTTCCTCCTTCCTCACCGACCCGGGCCCTCGCTGTCTGAAAGCAGCTGCCACCGCTTACTCTCTGCTGGGATCCAGGCTCGCTCTTTACCTGAGGACAAAGCCAGCCTCCAACTTCCGGGAGGCCGCGCGCTAGACTTGACGTTGGGCGAAGCCGATTTGCCACAGATTAATGCCTCCCTCCAAAAAAAAAATTATGTGTATTGTGCCAAGTTAGGGAGTGAATTGTAATAACCCGAAAAGTGGATGATGTGTAATTTTTTATTTTTTAGGTGAATGACATAACGTCCTTTTTTTTTTTTTTTTTTTTTTGGCCCAAGTAGGTTTTCGCCAAAGCATTTGCGGGAATGTGCTGATTCGAAAGTGCAGTTAGGTTTCCACCCGCAGCTCCCGCCCTCGGGGAGGATGGTGAGCACGTCGAGGAGTGTGTGGACAAGGCAGTGAGTGGACCCGTTAGTCCACGCCCCGGGCCTCTCCCCTGCTGGGAGGGGAGGAAGATTGAAGGGTATGGAGAAGATAGAGCTCAAAGGAAGTTCGGGTCATATAGCTTTAGACATACAGTCATCAAGACCAAGCCATTTTACAAATGAGGAAACTGAGCCCCAGGGAGGCAAAGCGACTTGTCCGGTGGTCAACCAAACAGTGTCAGCCAGGATTCAAACCCTGGGTCGTAAGATTGTAGAATCAGATCAGCAGCTGGGAGGTACCTACCCCATAGAAAGTCAGCTATTTCTCATTTTACAAGCCAAGAAACTGAGGCCCAGGGAGTTTCAGAGACTTGCTAAAGGGTCAACCAAGCATCGTCAGACCCAGAATTCAATCCCTAGGTTGTAAGATTATAGAATCAAATCTAGAAGAGAGGTACCTTAGAAAGATTTATCTAGTCCAATCATTTGGGATTGGTCATTCCAATGACCGAAGGGTCATCTAGTCCAGCTCTCTGAACGTCTCCATTTCCACCAAAGGACCTCTGGTGTTAAGTGGGGCACATAATGGTTGGGAGTAAACAGGCCTGCCAGTACCTGGCCTTCGACCATAAATAAGGTCATAAAGTGCTCTGTGGTGCTTCAATACCCTCAACAACAAAATAAAATAGAATAAAAATAAAAAATCAAGGAACAGGGGTTAAAACAACTATCTGATGTCCTGCAGCAGATTAGTACAAGAGATGACAGCATTTGACCCTTTAGTCTATCAAGTAACTGACAAATAGCCCTTCTTTCTTCACAAAGGGTCAGTGAAACATTTAAAAAAAAAACAGGGAAGAGAGCAGAAAGATGTTCAGAAAGACACAAACAGGGCAATTTTGGAATTATAGTAGTACATTTAAAAAAAAAAAAACAAACAACCTGGAGTGATACCTAAAGTGATGTTAAAAGGAGAGGAAGGCTTCCAGCAATGAACATTGGATGAAATCTCTGAAAAAATTGTTAGAAAGATATGGACAAATAACACAGACAGACTGTAATCTGTTGGGGAGGGGGGGAAGAGAAAGAGGAAAGGGAGTCCTTGAACCTGTGAGAACCATAAATTATTGAAGTATCAAAAGAATCAACTAACTTGATAAAGTGAGTCAGTGCTGTGGAAAGAGAAATAACACTGGTGATTTGGGAGTTTTCTGAAAATCAGTAACTACAATGTGATGGCTTTATTATAACCCAACAGTTGTGATAAGGAAAAATTGAGATAACATAAGGCAGGTCAGGGCAGCTAGAGGGCAAGGTGCATAGTGCTGGGCCTGGAGTCCCGAATACCTGAGTTCAAATCCAGCCTCAGACCCTTACTATCTGGGTGACCCTGGGCAAGTCATATAACTCTGTTTGCCTCAGTTTCCTCATCTGTAAAATGAGCTGGAGAAGGAAATGACAAATCACTCCATTATCTTTGCCAAGAAAATCCCATCCAAGGGGTCGTGAAGAATCAATGGGACATGACTGAATGACTAAACAAGCAGCAGCAGTAGTAGTAAGCAATAGCCAGTATGCCTTGTGGCATACCTCATTTTATTGCGCTTCACGTATTTTTCCATTTTTGCAAATTGAAGGTTTGTGGCAACCCTGCTTCAAGCAAGTCTATTGGCACCATTTTTCCAACAGCTTGTGCTCACATTGTGATTCTGTGTCACATTTTGGCAATTCTAACAATATTTCAAAAATGTTTCATTATTATTGTATCTATTGTGGTGATCCGTGATCAGTGATCTTTGATGTTACTATTGTAATTGTTTTGGGGGCGCCACACACAGTGCCCATATAAGACTACGAATTTTCATAAATACATGTAGTATGTACTGATTGCTGCGGGGACTGACCATTCTGAGCGGGCACGCGCGGGCGCCTCAGATCTATTCTCTGAGACACAACAATATTGAACAGTATTACATAAACTTAGTTGATGAAGCAGTGGCAGGGTTTAACAGGATTATCACCAATTTTGAAAGAAATAGTGCTGTGGGTAAAATGTCATCTAACAGCATCGCTTACTACAGAGAAATCTTTCATGAAAGGAAGAGGCAATCAATGCAGCAAACTTCATTGTCATCTTATTTTAAGAAATTGCCACAGCCACTCCAGCCTTCGGCAACCATCACCATCGAGGCAAGACCCTCCACCAGCAAAAAGATGACAACTGGTTGAGAGCTCAAATGATGGTTAGCTCTCTCTCTTTTTTTTTTTTTTAGCAACAAAGTATTTTTAATCAAGATGTATACATTGTTTCTTTAGACATACTATTGCTCACTTAATAGACTACATTGTACTATAAACATAACTTTTATATACGCTGGGAAACAAAAAAAAAATTTGTGACTCTTTATTGCAATATTAGCTTTATTGCGGTGGTCTGGAGCCGACCCCACAATATCTCCGTGGTGCGCCTGTAGTGCTTTAAAATTTGCCAGCAGACTGTTCAAGAATCTGTAATTTTATTAAGACTAGCAAAGACATCTAATCCACCTCCTTTCTCTTATGGATAAGAAAAACAAAAGCCCGGAAAAGGAAAACGTCAGGCCTAAAGTCAGAAGAAATTTAGCACCTACTTTTAAACTCAATAACATGAAATCACATTCACTTTCAATCAGTAAATTTAACAAATAATTTGAGAGAAACCTGAGCGGGTTCTGAACTAGGTGCAGTGGAGAACCCCTAGATTTGGAGTCAGAGGACCCGAATTTCCTAGCAGTGTGACCTGGGGCAAATCTCGTCATTTTAGGCTTCAAATGTACTCCATGTTAAAATGGTCTCTGAAAGTTAAACTACTCTTTTCGCACCTAGTAATCACCTCATTATTTCCCTTTGAAATACTAATTAACTGGTTAACCTTTGTTCACACCTCTTTAACTTCTCTTTAGCTTTTCAATCTAGAGAAGCCTCTCTCCCCACCAAAAAGGAAATTACCCTGCTAGGGACCTCACTTAGCCTCTTGACCTTTGCCTCTCTAATGCTTTTGCCCTATTGTATTGTGCCCCCAGCCAGACTGAAGGCCAATCAGCAGGCTCTTATTTTGTGCCAGACATCTTGCTAAATGCTGGCAATAAAACAGAAGGCAAAAAAAAAATGTCCTTGTTCCTTGAGGGAAGGGAACAGTATTAATAATCATCTCTCTACCCCAATGTCGTCTACAGTCGTTTGTCCTTCATTTTCCAAGAGGACCAATGCCATTACGGGTGATGTCTTGACTCTTGCATGAATTAGATTTAATTGAGGCAGAGTTGCACAAAGTCATCAGCCTCACTCTCTCTCTTCCAGAGTCGTGGAGGTCCAGCGGCAGGACAAAAATCCTGGGCTATGGCCCAGGATGCAGTGGGTGACCTTGGCGTCTTTGATGTCTGAACCAGCGCTAAGCATTCCGCAGTGCCTGCTTCAGATGCCTTCCTTGCCTTTGGAACAAAACATCAGCCCATTCCTGGAGGGGTGGTAGTCTTCACAGGCTTGAGAGTAGATATCCCCCTAACTCACATACGGGTTTCAGTCCTGTCAACTACCCTCAATCTGGTCTAGCCTGTCTGCCAAGATAGTTCTACTGGAGTGTGGCCACTGAGCTGCTACGACTTCTTGGGGCCACAGGTGAGAGTTGGGTAAATCAGGCGGACAATAAGGTGGATGAGCAGTCCTTAAAAGGGCTCAAAAACCCTGCCACAGAAACACTGGTTCTTCTGAACACTCCGTACACCTCAGTATTTTGCTTGAGTAGGCATTTCATAAATGATGGTTGTTGTAGATAAAGGATCTACTCAAAGACCTAGAATTTCATGCAGTCGGATAAAAGGGTTGCCAAAAACTCACAATATTTTGCATTTACTAACATTTATCTACAACGTGCCAAACTGTCTTCTAGGAACCAGGCAGACAAAGACAAAAATCACGATTCCTTATCCTTGAACTTACTGGAGTGAAAAACTTGTTTTCTGACATGATGTCTCTACCGACAGTCTATAATTAGTATATTATGGGCTAGGGAATTGCCTGAGGCACTCAGAGTCAATTGTTGTCTTCTGTTTTCTTTGTTGTTGTTGTTTTGGTGAGGCAATCAGGGTTAAGTGACTTGCCCAGGGTCACACAGCTAGTAACTGTCAAGCCTCTGAGGCCGGATTTGAACTCAGGTCTTCCGGACTCCAAGGCCAGAGCTCTATCCATTGCGCCACCCGGCTGCCCCTAACTCAGAGTCAATTGTACTGGGTCATCCGGCTCCTAAGTGTTAAAGGCAGGATTTGAATCCAGATCTTCCTGACCTTTGGGCCAGTGCTGTGCCCACTATACCACACTGCCTCGCTTAGAACAGATAGATAAATGCAAGATAATTTCAGGAGGAAATGAATGCTTGGGATCTGGAATGCATTTGCCTATGGGTAGCACCCAAACTGAGGGAAGTCAGAGATTCTGAAGGTGGAGGTGAGAAAAGATCCCATCCTTAGTACGGAGGAGAGCTGATGGAATGGAAAGTTGAGGTCAGCCAATAGAAGGCACAAAACTGAGAACAAAGAATGTTTGATGGAGTGTCACAGAACAGCCCAAGCTGTCTAGAACACCAAGTGTGTGTGGGAAGGAGAGCCTGAAGAAGATAGCAAGACTAGCCAGATTGTGATGGGTCATTAAATACAAAGTTAAGGAGTTTGTATTTTTTCTGTTTAGAAGCCCTAGGGAGCTG